CCCCAAAACCCCAAAACCCCAAAACCCCAAAACCCCTATAAATTAGCGTCTTACTGATAAAATCTAAAATAATATATTTTTACGAAATTATAAGAAGTATTCTAATTGAGGCTTCTTGGCTGGAATCCCTCTTGATTCCTGTGGTGCTGCATTAAAAGTCTTATAATTTTCTTCAAGGTTTTCGTTAATTTCTAGGATAGAAGCTACGTTTCCTCATCTGTAGCAGTAATTTGGAGCTGACCAGACTGTAACAAGCTGATTGTTAAACATTTGTTTATATCCTTCCATTACCAGCTGGTGAGCTCTAGCAATAAGTTTAATATCATTTTCTCTGTTCCATTTCTCTACAATATCTTCTCCAAAAAGAAAACCTGCTCCTCTAGGACTTGATTTCCAGTTCATAATATCTATACAAAGTAAAAATAGCAAACTTACCATCTGGGTCTGACCACATTAGATCGCACATGGCTCCTTCATGTGGAACTTCTTGCTTTCTATCAATTGATTTAATCTCATCTAGATTACTGATTTCAGGTGAAAGACCTCCATGAACACAAAATATTTTCCCTTCGATAAGTGCAGATAGGGGTAGATAATCAAATATCTCTGTACAATATCTCCACACAGATGCTGTTCCATACTTCCTCATACATTCATCATAGAATCCGTAAACTTGCGTGATCTGTCTGCTTTCATGATTCCCTCTAATTAGTGCTATTCTTTCAGGATAGCGTACCTTCAATGCAAGCAATAAAAGGAAAGTTTCAACAGAGTAGAACCCTCTATCTACAAAATCTCCAAGGAAAAGGTAATTTGTCTCTGGGCAGTCGCCTCCAATATCAAAAAGCTCGATCAAATCATAAAACTGGCCATGGATATCTCCGCAAATCTAAAAAGTGAGTTGAATTTCAAATAAAATAACTTACCGTAACTGGGGCTTGAATCTCCTGAACATTACATTCTTCAATAAAGATATCTCTTGCTAAGTTACATAAATTCCTAACTTCACTCTCAGTCAAAGTCTTGCACTGCTTCAATTCCTTAATCTGTCTATCTAAATCTGCTTCTGACATATTTTTACAATTTTTATTTCAATACCAGTCGCCCAAATTGGGGTTTTGGGGTTTTGGGGTTTTGGGGG